CACAAATGCCTGGGAGTGCTTTACCTTCATCTGTGTCAAAAGACCTCAGTGCCACCACCACTGGTGCCTGTCTGAGGAGGTAATTCCCTGCAGGATTGGGCAGCTGGGCTCCGCAACCAGCAAAGCTGCTGGAGGTGCTTAGGCAGGCATAAGAGGATTCAGTGACACCACTGATTAGTGTCCAGGGCCTCATTAGGGTGCTGGTAATTGCAGGTCTCCCAAGGTTTAAACAGGCTTCTTTAAATCTGCCCCCAGAGGCTGCGCTTGGCTGCATGGCACAGTGCTTTCTGCAAGGTAGGCAGTGCCCTCCCTCCTTCCCTCCCTCCCTCCCTGCAGCAGCCTGGCACCGGGGATGGCATCCCCTGGCACCCTGGGCATGGCACTCACACTGGGTGGGGCTCAGGGACAGACAGGGAAGGCCTGGGGAGGAGCAGAGGGCAGGCTGTGCTCCTGCAGGTGTGCTGGTGGTGCTGCTGTTTGAACGTGCTGCTGTCCATAATTACATTAGCCCGGAGGGGCTTTGTGCTTAATTTCATTAGCTTGGTGTCTGTGGTTATTGCTGGGCATGAGGAGGGGTAGGGATGGATGGGGAAGGGCTGATGCAGCAGCTCCCTTCCTTTCCATCTCCAGGGAGGCAGCCTGCTTTTGGTGACTTGTGCCAGTCCCAGGCCAGTGGCATGGACCAGTGCAACACATGGATGAGGTTGGCTCCATGCACTGTGCCAGCCTGGAGAAATCCAGTTTCAAGTCCCTGCTCTGGCACTGACTCCCAGTTTGGCCCGGGGCAGGTCACCTGGTGCCTGTGTCACCCTCAGAGGCCAGCAGGGAGGAGAATGGGCATTTTGGCTCTTGGGGCACTTAGCCTGGTAGCCCATATTGCACCTCATTAGCCATGGGAAGGGAGCCCCAGCCCCAACACCAGCACCCCACAGGAAATGGTTTTGCCTGGAATTCTGTTACTCTGGAGCAGTGTGGCAGCAGGAAGATGAATGTTGTGGGATTATAAGAGCTGCAACCTTTTTATTTGGCCATATCTATGTCATTAGTATATACATAGACTGCCTTTGCCTTTGAACAAATATGGGGTGAGGCTTGATGGAATTCTTCAACATATTTGGGTTTTTCCTAGTTTGAGGAAAAGGGACCATATTTACTTTCCAGCTTTCCTGGTTCTGGTGCAAGGTGGGATAAAATTATTCCCCTGTAGGCCCTTATGCAGCCAGGCTCCAGAGATCAGCATCCTAAAGGCTTGGTGGAGCAGTACTGGTGGAGAAATTCTTTGAGATGCTATTCCAGCACACTCAGAAATCTATCTACAGTACAGTGGCCTTGGAAAGTTACCTGGAAGGTGAGTCAGTGAGCTGGGTATCCCAACACAACATTAGCATCTTGGTTGGCTTGAATATTTCTGCTTTGTCAGGAGTCCTGCTCTGACTGATGTCCCCCTGTGTGGCTGCTGGCTGCCCCCTGGCAGCACTGAATCCCATCTGGGTGCAGCATGGCCATGGTTTTTCTTCCTAAATTAACAGTGGCAGTCATAATGCCTTCTCCTTTTACACAACAACGAGGACAGGCAGGGGAATAAAAAGCATTTAATACTCTGAAGCTGTGAATTGTGCTATTCTACAAGAAACTGAGGGGCTGCCTCTGTAGGGTCCTGCAGTGCTGCTTAAGAGAGGCTGGGCTGGCTCCTTAGAGTCCGTCACAAACTGACTTGGGTGCAGGGACTGGAACTTCTCCACGCTCCAAAATCCATGGTGGCCTCCTAAATTAATTGCCTGCCACTTGATTTGCCTGAGGAAAGGGCCTGGAGGGGTTTCCTTGAAGTTGCTCTGTGTGTGCATGTGTTCTGCAGTGCTAAGCACTCACTAACCCAGATCTGCTAAAAATCAATAAAGTAATCCACTTACTGCTTGGGACTGCCAACCTTTTTAAGGAGCTCAGAGCTGTTTTGTCTTCTTTCCTCTCCCAAAGAAAGAAAAGAGCTGTGGGGAAGGGGGTGCTGACAGAGCCGGTCTAAAATCAGGCTCTTTGCTCTGGGCAGATCAATAAAAATAATTCCCTACTAAAACTTCATTAGCATGGAATTAAAGCCGCTGAGATCCCGCGTGCTGGGTGAGAATAAATGGTACAGCTAAACCTCGGCACGGCTGGTGCTTAGAACACAAAGCTGCTCACACCTCCCTGTTCCCAGGGCATGCAGCTGCCTCTGCCCCTGCCTGGCAAGGGCACAAACCCTCCTGGCCAGCCTGAGGGCAAGGGACAAGCCAGGCTGGCATGGCAGGTGGAAGCGAAACTGGTGTGCAAAAGTGGATTTGTGTCAAAAGCAGCATCTGAGTCCTGGGTGCTGGTGGGCACCTGGGGGACAAGGCCACACTGCAGCTCTGCATGGGTGCTGGACAGGCAGGCTTTCCATCATGCCAGAGCTTTCCCATGACACCAGATCAGAGAAACATCCCTGTGGCAGGCTGCACAAAGTCCCTCTCTCGTGTGGAAGTTTTGGATCTTATTGAGTGTGTGTGTTTGTATGTGTGTGTGTGTGTGTGTGTGTGTGTGTGTGTGAAAAATCACTTCTTTTGAAAGCAGGTTGCTTGCTAGGTTTTTTTAATTGAAAAATGTTTCTTTCAGTCTTGTGACAGAGGGGAAAAAAACTTGCCCTGCTGAGAAATCCAATTTTCTATCAGGAGATTGAAACAAGGCACCTTGCAGTGTGATCCTCAGCAGTGCCCTGGGTTTCTGCCTGCCGGGCATTGAGGCATCCCTGCCTGGTGCCAGGCTTTTGCTTCCTGCTCCTAACAAGGATCCCAGCGTGGCTGTTAAAGGACAGCAGTGCAGGCAAGGCCAGTATTGTCCTGAAACAGCAAACTTTGCCAACAGGTTAGAAATCCTTGTGGATTGACACTCATGGATTAGACAGGGTGGAGTGTGGGGCAGCCTGCACTGAAACAGGAGCTGTGCCTACATCTCCTGCACCTGGATGCAGCTGTGAACACTGGAAGGACTGGCCTGAGCTGAGGACATTCCCTGGGGATGGTCTTGTTGGATGTTGGGGTGGTGGCAGGGCAGGACACCAGCTCAGCTGAGCAGGAGAGGGACAGGACACAGCACCACACAGTCAGATCCTGCTGTGTTGTGCTCTGGTGGTGGTCATCAAACCCTTTTTGTCTCCCTTCCCCAGAGCTAAAAACTTGTGGCCAGTGAGAGGGATGTGTGCTCAGCTGCCTCTCTACCTCTAAAAACAGTTCTGCAGTGCCATTAATGTTTGTGCAGTAAAACAAACGAGATGTGAAAGGTGGCAAGATAGAAAACACAAGAGTGATCTCTGCTGTTTGTATTCCCCCTGCAAGACTGCAGTTGCTTGGTGGCTTTTTTTTGCCTCAGTAGAACCTACCCTGAATACTGATCTCTTGGTTGTTTTTTTAATTGTGAGAAAAAAAGAAGGTATGTGTAAACCTAGGCCATGGCTAATGGGCTATACAGAATGCTGATACTACTGCCTGCAAACCTCCTTGCTCCTGACAAGGAGGTTATCCATTTCTTCTGCTCTGTGGAGATGCACTCCCAAGTGTTAGGTTCCCATTCCTAGGTAAACTCTAAGCCCTGGAGCAGATGCAGAGCAGAAATTGGAGGAAATAAAATCACCTTTTAAAAATAAAGGCTGTTAACATAAGGGAGAGGAAAAACCTTTTCCCTTGCCTAAGTTCTAGCTAGAGATAAATGGATGTGGCAATGTCTGAGAGCAAAGGAAGAAACAGAGCTAACAAGGGCAACTTTTCCTTCTCCTGCAGACTGATACCTCAGGGCTGACTGCACCTCAGTCAGCATCTGCCTGAGCTGCTGCTGGGTGCTCTGAGCAGCTCTGGGCTGGCAGATTCCATACCCTCTCCTTCCAGCATGCTTTGTGCCAAGGGGCAAAATGGGTCCTGGGGTGACCTGGAGGGAGCCAAGTGCCAGAAGGCTCCTGCAGGATGCCAAACATCCTAATCTGATCTTCCCTCTTTTTGTCTTGCTCCCCATGGGAAGGCAAAGCCCCTTGGTAGCCCCTTTCTCTGCCGTGTGGCTGGTGGCAATGCCAGGTCTGCAAGCCACCTTCTCCTCCAGCACACATATTAATGCAGGCCTTCAGCAAAATTGCTCCCTCCTCCATTCCTTTGGAGGAGGCTTCATCTGGGGCTTCCCAAATCAGAGCCCAGAATGTGCTGTGTCCTTGTCTCTCCCCAGAGCTGCAGGAGCTGGGCTGGGGTTTGCCAGTCAGGGAATGGGGTTGTTCCTGACCCGGAGCACAGGGCACTGGAGGGGACAGTGCTGGGGACCGCATGTGGCTCTGCCCTGGCTGGCAGCTGGCTGCTTGTTCCTGCTTATTCCTGCACATTTCCCGCACAACTTCATTGTTGGGACGGCTGGGCATTAGATGAAGTTGTGGATGTGGGTCTGGGGCTGTCTGAAGCTTTGCTGTGAAGTTTCCTGAGTGTATGCAGTCAGTATTGAGATATCCCTGCCTGGTGCCAGGCTTTTCCTCCCTGCTCCTCACAAGGATCCCCAGCGTGGCTGTTAAAGGCCAGCAGTGAAGGCAAAGCCAGTGCTGTCCTGAAACAGCAAACTTTGCCAACAGGTTAGAAATCCTTGCGGTTGCTGGGATCGACACTCATGGATTGAGCCCCCCCCGGGCTCTGTCCCACCTCCTCTCACCCCACACAGCTTTAGCAGCCGGTTAATGAGGCTTTTGGTGCGGTTTGCGTGTCTTTTGTGCTCCTTTTTGGGTGGGGCTGGGGATGGGAGCTGAGCCGCCAGCTCCGCTAGCCCCAGGAAGGTCCTGCTGGCCCTCAGCCTTGCATTTCCCAGGGGTGGCTGCAGCCCCAGGGCCGTGCCGTGATTTCGGCAGCACAGCTGAGGCAGGATCTGCTGTGGGACGCAGGGTGGATGTGCAGCTCCACATGGCCGGAGCTGCTGGAACCAACACGGGTGGAGCAGCACATCACCCCCTCCTTCCCCACGACGCTCCTCCCCTGAACAACTTAACCTCTCCCCCTGCTCCCGATTCCCGATCCATAGCGGAGCCGCCGTGCATTGATTGGCGTCTCCGCCGGGCGATTATGCTGCGTGCCCGGAGCGCCGGGAATTCGCAGGGAGCCGAGGCAGCCGAGCAGGGCAGCGGGCGCTGAGGAGGAGCGGGGAAACGCGGGGGAACGCGGGGCTGGCGCGGCCCGGGCCCGGCCGCGGCCGGCGTGAGGCGAGCATGGGCCCGCGGCGGGGAGAAGCTGCCCCGGCACCCTCCGAGAGCCCCCTCAGAGCCATGCCCCGGCCTCGGCTGCGCTCCGGACGGCTTTGAAGTTTAGAGGAGGCACTTGTGTCGGGAAAGGCAAGCGATGAACTGAAGATTAAACATGTATGGGAATTATCCTCACTTCATTAAGTTTCCTGCGGGCTTTGGCAGTAAGTGTTTTACTTGCGTTTACGGGGTTAGGGGGAGGAACTGGTCCCACGGTGGCGGCGAGGGGGGGGTGTAAAGGGAATTAAAAAACGTAAAGAGAATTTAAAAATCTAAATTCCCAGCTAGGAATTTAACCTAGCTGGGATGTGGCTGTAACCTGCAGTGCCCGTGTGCTTGTGATCGAAGCTGTCCTGTGGTTTTATGTGCTGTGAACTTCTGCACGGCCACGCCAGGCTGCCTGAAATTCTGCAGGCTGCGCTTTGAAGTTCAGCGGATCGCTTGGGAGATGCGTGTTTGTGTCTGTGTGTGCTGGCTTGAATCTCTTCATTGTAAGAACAGCGTCAAACCGAGTAAGCATCTTTCCCATTTCATTTTAATTAACTTGTTGATGGGAGGAAAAAATTACTTTTTAAACCTGAGACGCCTCCCTAGAAAATCTTACGAGGGCTAATTCCTTGCTTTGCGGGGCTGTCTCCTGCCCTTGTGACACAGATCCCACCATCATCGTGTGGAGCTGTGTCAGATGAGCCAAGGGAGGCTGTGACACCGCTGTGCCCACCGAGAGCGAGCCCTGGCTGCAGGAACCGCGGCTCCTCTCGGGAAATGCTCTTTGGGAATACTCTTTATGTTTTATCTGAGGTTATTGCCCTTGCCCTGACACAGGGGGAATGGGCTGAGGAGCTGTGGGTTGGAGTGCTCGGCTGCGAGGGGCTGGGAGCACCCACCTATGGACTGCTGCTAGTATTGGTGGAACAAAGTGCATGTGTGTGCAAAGTCTTGGTGCCTCTGGAAAGCTCCTGAAGTTGTTCCCAGCCCTTCAAAGTGGGGAAATGCCTCCAGGATTTGCTCTGTGTACACCAGCCTGGTATTTCTCTGCTGGAGAAGCAGTTCCTGCAGACATCACGTTGCACATGGGATGTTCCCACTATGTGTGGGGTTTTTTCCCCCTCCCTTTTTCACCAGATGCTCACCTCTGGTAATTCGCCAGCTCCAGGAAAGTATTGCATCAAGTTATCCTCGAGTTTCACAAGAGCTTGACTTTTCAAAATACCTTTTTAGGCTGTTTCTGCAGAATCTCATTGGGAGAATCTGTTGCTCACTGGTGGTTTTAAGGACCCAGCAAAGACAAGCTGAACTCTCTCCTCCTGCTGCAATAAGAAGGAAACAATGAAAGCGTTATTTGTGTTTGATTTATTTCTATTACAAATAAGAACAAAACAATGAAAGTGTTATTTGTGTTGAATTTATTTCTGTTACAAACTTGCAACGAACCAAAGGAAAAGTGACAGTTAAGCTGATCTTCATAGGAACCAGGCAGAGATCCCTGTAGGGACAAGGGTCACAACACTCAGCAGAGCCTTTGGGAGATTTCTAGGAGAGGAAATTGGTAATAGGAGCAGAGGGATTTCTGTTCCACCAATAAAGGCGAAGGGACTTCTCTATCTCAGTATATTGGGAGTTTAACTTCCTTTTAATATATTAAACTGGGGTTTTAACCTGCTTCCAGCTTGGTATTAGAAACAGAGGTATTTTCTGTATGTGAATGCCTGGCAGAGATGCAAAAGCATTAGCCAAATTTTGTTTAGGATGCTTTAAAACAGTCCCTCTGTCCTGTCTTGTGCTCCCTGGATGGAGTTTGCCACTCCTCGCCATTCTCCCCTCAAAGCCAGAGGGCTTCCATGTCCCTGTGGCAGCTCCCTCTCCTTTGAGGGGAATTCTGGCTGGCTGAGGAAGCAGTGCCTGTTTTGGGCAGACAGCTTTAGGGCTGTGTGAAAGAGCAGCCAGGCTTTGGAGGAGGAGAGATGGTGGTGACCGTGGTGGAAGGGATCTTCCACTGCCTTGGGTCCTCACCACCAGGCAGCCTGCATCTCCATCAGGCCCACCATGTGTTCCTGGTGTTTATCCTTGGAAAAGCCATGAAACTCTTCCTGGAACATCAGGGTCCACACTGAGCTGTCAGCTTGTAGCATTCATTGCACGGTGTTGCTGGAAGTCAAAGTTAAGGGGATGCAGGTTCTGCTGTTCTTCTTGCATTCAGATTTCCTTTAGCTCTGAAATTCTGGGCTTCAATTTCAGCATAATGGCAAAAAAAAAGGTATCAGCTTGCTGTCTTTTTCTTTGCTTTCAGGTAGCTGTTACATCTGTTTTACCTTAATTTTATCTCCATTCAGGTTAGAAATAAGGTGCATGTTTTTGATGGGGTGTGCAACACTCACTTTGATCTTAAACATCTGACTAGCACCGCCAAATTTGTCTGAGAAATACATCCACAAGCTGGTCATAAGCACATGATTTGTGATGAGAAAAGGACAATCAGACTCCAAGGTGTCACAGGTGCGTTTGTAGAATAACAGGGAAAATGTTCAGAGGAGTCACCCATAGACATCTAAAGCAGGAGATGTGCTGGGCTACAGGAGCAAAAGAAGAGCTTAAAAATGTGGTTTTAGTGTCCAGAAGGATTCATCTCACCCCAAGCCCAGCTCCCAGGGCAAGGAAAGATGCTGTGCTGGCTGTCCTCTCTCTCTGGGCACTCTCTGGCACCGTTGGTTGGGGACAAGAACTAACTTGGCTCCTCCACAAAGTCTCTTTTATTGGTACTCATGTAACTTGGCCTGTGGCCACACCACCTCCGGCTGCAATCTTGTCAGCTCTCCCAAGCAAAGCAGGGTTAGGCCAGGTCGTTTAGGGGATAGGGAGAGGAAAACCCACATTGTGCTGGGCTGGCTCTGCTGCCTGCCTGGCTGGCACCTTTTTCACAGGTGATGGTCCCAGGTTTTGTGACCTGCAGGATGCTTTTTCCCCTGGATGTCATGGCTTGCTGTGTCCATTCCTGTAATTGTGGATGTGAGGGTGGAAAAGAGCCCTTAGTGACTGGGCAACTCTGGTATCTAAGAAAATGAAATTTTAAGAAAATGAGATTTTAAATTTTGTGAAAATTTTTCTTTTAAACCAGGAGACACCTGCCTTCAGTTGCCTGGGGCAACTACAGTTCCTGCAGTCAGTGGGATCCATTCTCCTGGGGACCTGTAGCTTCTCCACAAATTCAAAGACAACTGTAGGAATTTGTATGTGTTTTTTCCTGGTGGCTGCTGGCCAAGTGGGAAATCTGATCAAACAATCATGGAAAAAAACCTTCAGGCCTCAAATTCAACGATTTTTTCCTTTTTTTTTGGAGACAAGGAGCTTTATCCAACTCTTGTGTGTTACTGTGGCCACCAGGGAGATGTGACACCTTGTTAGGGTGAGTAAATTTGGCTTGCAGCTCTGTTTTAATTACTTGATGTGTAGTTGCTAAAGGAGTCTTTCCCTGGTGCAGGCTCAGCAGCAGATGCTATTTTGAGGTCTTGGCCTGATTGGACTGAAAGTGGACAGTGGGTCAATAGCTTAGTAAGTCCAAGGACATTTGGACAGGACACACAGCTTTTTGTGGCCAGGTTTTGGATGGCCCCTGTTGCAAGGGAGGCACAGGAGCATTACCAGAGAAGAGAGGAAGCAGCTCTTCCCACCGCCTGGAGGGCTGAGGGAAATTTTGTGCTGCCCATTGTAGGTCCCTGTTGGAGAAACTCCTGCTCCCATATGTGCCACTACAGCTCCTGAGAGTTTTCCTCCTCGTTTTTAGTGCTCAGGGAAGGCTGCATTATTTATTGGCATGGAGTTGAGCAGGAAAGATGGAAACACAGAGGTCCCTGGACCTTAAAAGCAAGGCAAACCCACTAACCTTTCTGTGGGATATTTGTACTGGATGTAGGAATCTGCTTGGATGGTTGGTTAAAAATATCCCCAGAAAGGGAAGAGTTTTTTGGTTCATCTTCTGTGTATTAAACAAAAACAACTTCTGCAGTCACAGCAGCAGAACTTGGCTGGATTCCAGTTATGGTGGGTATCCTGCTACCATCACTGCAGACCCTTTCAGGAGTGTTTCTCTCAGGTATTTCCCTTTCAAGGTCGTCCCCAAGGACGAGATGTTTGCCAGGCTGCACCTCCCACGCACACTCGTGCTCCTCTCCTGAAATCAGCCCTTCTCTGCCTGTCTCTGCCCACTTCTCAGTGCTTTCTGATCTGCAGAGGATGAAATATCTGCAAAGTCGTGTCAGGCAGGGCAGCTCACACCTTTAAATGTTTGTCAACCTTTTCTCTGAAGCCTTGGGAGCATAAGTGTTTTGCATTGTTTGATGAGTTCCAGCTTTTGATTCCCTCTGATATTAAAAAGGAAACTGTGAATGTTGAGAGTATCATCATCTCTAGGCTTGCCAGGGCTCTTCAAGGACTGTTTTAGGCCTTAGATGAGGTCAGACCTCAGTGTTGAACACAGGTATTTCTCTCAAGGCTTTGCTGGGTGTTAGAGTTGAAGGGACATTGTCCAAAACAAGCCTGCAGCCTGTGGTGGTTTAAACAGACAGTGTGTGCAGTGCTTGGATGTTTTTGGGCTCTGCATTTTGATTCTTCTTTCTGCTCAAGTGTAACTGCTGAAGCTGATGTTTGCTGCCATTATTTGTGTGAAAATCAAGGCAGTTTTATTGGTTGCAGCCTGGTTCCTTCTCTTCCTACTGCCTTCACTGAGATATTTGGGGTCACTTGTCTATGTTTCCACACCTTCCTCAGCTTCCCCTGTGAAGTTCTTGGAGCACAGAGGTGCATCCAAAGTGCCTTTTTCAAGCTCACCTTGGTTCAGTTTCACTGTGCTAGCCCAGACCTGGCTGTTTAGCCTTGGATTGGTGGACCTGGAGCTTTTGTGCTCTGCAGGTGCATGTGTTGGACACCTCCACATCTGCTGTGGTGTAGATGGTGTTCTACTCCTGATTTATGAGGCCACTCATGCAAGTTTCCTATCCCTGGACTAGGATTTTGCTGAAGTGAAGATGAAGCACAGTTGGAGTGGAGTATCAAAGCTTTGTGTGCTTGCTCAGCCTCAGTAGCTGGTGGGTGAGGATAATGCTGTTGCTTATGTCCTCAAGGGCAGTAATTTCAAAATGCAGAGAACTGAGTGTTTCTTGGGGTCTGT